GGAGTTAGGAGGGGTAGAGGTAGACCTAGATTAGATTACTGTTCGCAAATAGTTAAGGATGTGGGCTGTTCTAGTTTTAGGGAAATGCGAAGTTTAGCTCAGAATAGGAAAGAGTGGAGGTACGTGTCCAACCAGTCTTAGGACTGATGACCTTATGATGATGATGATCATAATGGCTTATTCAACTTCTAAAAAATAATTTAAATTAAAAGTCATAGAGCAATTCTATTATGGATATATATTACACAAATGCATAGACGTAGTTAAAGTTGTATACTATAAAACAGCATTAAATAATTAAAAAGTTGATTGTTTAATACTGCAATCCTATATACTGAATGTTATTAGTTTTCAAATCTTGTGGTTATGAATAGAGATAATAAAATCTAAGGAAAATGTGTTTAAAATGAGAATACGATCATATCCATTTTTCCATAAAAAATAAATAACATAGATAGTTGTCTAGAATACGGGTAGTAATTCAAGTAGTAGTTTGTAAAGAAACATAACGAAACAAAATTAAGATATTAATTTAATAATTTGTTTGTATATCATACAAAAACTATACTGATCTCTGATTAGATTTTCTGAAAAACATAAGACTCAACTTAAAGTTGCGTTTTTAATAGATCAACCAAATTATATATCTTTCCTTTCATTCAAATATTGTGGCACACAGTCCGTCTGGTCCCTTAGAAAGGCTTTCATACATTCAACGTATCTCGACTTTTCAATTCTTCTCAAATAATCCCATTACATCTTACTCTCACCATTTCCCAGACACATTCCCGTAGTACCCCATTCATTCGAATTTTCCTGATCCAGTTTTAACTCATTTAGAGCTTTATACCTTTCTTTGTCATACCTACTTCTTATTCCGATATTTAAAACCTTTCTTCATCATACTTGCTGCCTTACATCCCTTTCTCTTTAATTTTCTAATTTCATTTAGGACTTTGGCTTTTTTGGTTTTCATTACCTACCATCTTCACACATTTCGCTTTCCTCTTAGCAATATATTAATCCTGCATACTTTTGTCCAAATTCAAATCCCAATTTATATTTTTCTTATAAACGCTCTTTACTCTAGTTTTTTTCACCCCCATGCTTCTACTGGTATTTATTAGTAAATTAAATTTTTAAGTACTTATATATAGGTACAATATAATAATGCAGACTGTTGTCATGAAAATAAGCATTATAAGTATTATGTCGAAACTGGATTTGGATCTCATCAGCGCGTCGCGTCCAAAAAGATCGAAATCGCGATCCGCGTCTGGCAGTTTCGACAGAAAACAGACCACTTCGAATTATTTTATTCGATTAAGCTAACGTGCTATCACGTTGAGGTTAGCTACGCCGGGATTCGTTTTCAGCAAGCAGGTTATCCACACAAGTGGACCTTGTTGGAGCATACGTAATCCTAAAATGTAGCATTGTGCTACATATGGCGTTTACTGCGCCATTGTGGTATTTTCTATATTAACATATGTTTATAGCTAGTGTTTGAAAAGCTTTACTTACAATTAGTTTTGAAATATTTTTTCTTTCGGCATATAATACCACTAATTCCTCTAATTCTTAATATCAGATGGTTAATTTTTAGTTTCGTAATTCAGAAGCACCTTTAGAAATTCATCCAAGCGTACATACATTATTTATAAAAAGTGTAACTGTATTAATTCAATTATACTCTCGGTACATAAATTGTGGGAAAACATACTTGTGTTTACTTATTTCTAAATATTTAACATATGTTTTACGATCAATGTACCAATGAATGTTTGAATTATATTTATAAACCGATTAATGAATTTATATACTGACCGATACTGATCAATTAGTATTTATGTACTAATTGTTTTGGAAATAAAATAAGTACTGGGTAAAAGTTGAGCTGACCGAAAATGGATTTTAATATTGACCAAAAACGTTTTAATTCGTTTTCATAATAAAAATAAACAACAATTACAATTATGCTAAATCTTCAGTTTTTCTGGGAAATGACGTAAAGTAGCATTATTCCATCTTTTACAGTAGGTACCATACCTATATACGATGTACGAGTATACATATTTATATTGCACTTTTTTATTTTGACCTTCTTAACCATAATCAAAAACGAAGACAAAAATTCATTCGAAATTCGCCCAAAATTTTCCCGAATGATTATTAAACCTGTCTGTTTTAGTTTTATACCTTTTGAAGTCATTTTCGTGTACCTATACGTGGTTATCAAAAAACAAGCAATCAGAAATATTTGCGAAGATCTTCCAATTTAATAAATTATTCTGAAATACATAGGTACGTACTACTATTATATATAGTCTTTCCCTAGTCTTCCTTTAGAGTCATCGACCAATATTGTTGTAGATATATAGACTATGAACTAAGGGTTAAAAACATGTATCATTAGAAGATCGTGTAATATTTATGTTAGTGGAAATGTAAACAATTCCGAGGCTATTTAGAAAATCTATAAAATATTGTTTCAAAGATTGTTTAATACACACATATCCTGGGAGATCTATAGATATCCAGGATATG